AAGGAAGGAAGGAAGGAAGGAAGGAAGGAAGGAAGGAAGGAAGGAAGCCTGCTGAGCCCGAGCCAGAGGATAAAGGCAGGAAGCTGTCTTCCATGGCCTCTGCCTCATGTTTCAGCCTTAAGCTCCTGCCCTAACTTCCCTCAGTGATGGACTGTTTCCTGGAAGTGAAGCTGAAATAAGCCTTTTCTCCCCAAGTTTTTTTTGGTCAGAATGTTGCAGCGCGGCAGCAGAAAACAAACTGTAATGCACTGTGACAAGCACACTCTGCTTTTTTACAGCCTGTTTTACTTCAGTAAGACTGGAAGGCTGAGGCAGGAAGATCTGAAGTCAGTGTGGGCTCCATAGCAAGACCATGTCTCACAAAATAAGGAAAACACTCGTGTTATCAATGGTGCCAGCAAAGATAATGTGCTTGCCTGTACTGGTGGCTACTCTGTGCTCTGTCCAGGTTTCTAGAACTACCTACATCAGACCTCCATTCCCAGGGAGCACTAGAAATAGCCTACATGGGAGGTTTCTCATGCTCTTCCCTTGTAACTAGACCTGCATGGGCTTCACATAATATTAATTGGACATAGGAGCAAACCTCGCCACACAAAGTATTGGCAGAGAACCCTCGATGTGTCTGTTTGCAGTGCAAGGCAGCAAACTCAGGCCTCATGCTGCTCTCACGCTGCACTCGAATCCCTGGAAACCCTAACGTCCCTAGGATAATCCTTTCCAGAGTCACCAGGAAGTGCAGCTGGATCTCCCTGTATTGAGTAAACAGCAGATAGGGCCAGTATTGCCCCACTCTGAATACAGCGCGCAGTAGCCATGCCTAAGGACCAGCCAGTACAACCGTAGCTCTGCCGACTCCATCCATATGATGCTTGTGTTTAGTGAGCAAATGACCAAACGAGTTTGATGGCAAGAAGAACAAATGAGAGAGACAGAAACACACACACACAATCAGAGAAAATATGAGCGAGCTAGCCTGAGTCGTCTCCAAGGTTAGAACAATGCTACAACATTGAAGAGCACCCATCTGAGCCACATAGCCAGGCATGGTGGCTCACATCTATAATCCCAGAGCTCAGAGGCTAGGGCAGGAAGACGGGCTTGAAATCAAGGTCAGTCTGAACACACAGTAACACCCTGTCTAATAACAGCTACACAGAGGCTGATTTCATTTGCTATTCTAATCTCTACCAGTTCTTAAAGCAGGAGAAGCCAGTTCAGACTTTGACTAAGGACAAAAGTATAAACACACACATAGCACACACACTCACACCTATGTACACACATACATATATACACTGAAAATGCTACATGCCATACATAATACATATAGACATGTATATTCATATATACATACTCATGTAAACGTACGTATGTGTGTATATATTTACACATATGCATACATACATACGGCATTTAACATTTTGAGTGTGTAGCCTTATGGCTTTGGTAGTCAGTCAAAACAAGATTTGTTTTACGGGCTACATGGCACAACCTGTAATCTAGCCCTTGCAAGGTAGAGACAGAAAAATCGGGAGTTCAGGGTTTTCCTTAGCTATATAATGAGTTCAAGACCAGCCAGGGCTCTGTGCTATCCTGTCTCAAAAAGAGCAAACAACAACAAAAATGGAAAAAAAAAAAAAAAAGAGGCTCCTTCCCAACTGGTGCCCCGTGACACTCTGTCACACTTGCATGGCCCTGCCGTGTAACTGTGTCCTCTCTCCCGCACAGGCCCAGATGTGCAAAAGCTCTGTGTGCTCAGCCAAGTACTGAAGGACACAGCCATCGCCATCAATCCTGCGGTTATTTCCAGCTACAGCACTGAGAATTTTCAGCATGAATGTAGGTCTATCGTGGAGAAGCTGAAGGCAGATGGGCAGTTTGCCGCGGCCAGGAGAGTGGCAGAGTTAGCAGCCTTACCTGTGGACAGCTTGGTTACTGAACAGGTAGAAGTTTTAAGTTACTCAGACTCCCCGCAGAGAAACAACGCGGTACAGTCCACAGGCGATGCGGCCCTCTCCACACGTTGCTCCAGAAGTGAATACGCTTTGGATATATTAAGGAATATGTTTTTGATGTAAGCATAGCCTGTAGGACAGCGGTTCTCAACCTGTGGGGCACAGCCCCTTCGGGGGCCTCAGCAGTTTCCATTACGATTCATGACAGTAGCGGAGTTACAGTCCTGAAGTAGCTGGGGACACTACACCAGGAGGTGAGGCGCTGTGTTAGAGAGTCACGGGTTAGGAAGGGTGAGACCACTGCTGTGGAGTAAGCTGGAGCGTTTGCCTTTGAATAGGATAAACAGCTTGGCTTTCTCTCAACTCTCAGGCCTCTCACTGAGAATTGTTTTCATACTCTCCACATAATTGCCTCCAGCGCCTCTGCAGCCCAGTAGGTTTGCTTGTGGCCAGCACGTCCTTACGGAGCATGGACACCTGTGATGATGGTGCTTTGTTCAATTTCACAGTTGATCCAGGAGATGCAGACCCTAACACACCCTGAGCGATGGGCCCTGAAACATGCAAGAATCGACTTCTGGAAAAAATGCCATGAAACTTTTAAGAAGAACTCCATTTCAAACCGAGCAGCCTCCTCCTTCTTCTCCGGCCGGGCCCCTGTGGAGACTGAGCAGGGCAGCCTTGAAGAGCGCCATCTGCTGCTCACCCTGGCGGGCCACTGGCTTGCCCGAGAAGAGCCGGTTCCTGTGGAGGAGCTGCAAGAGCTGGAGAAGCAGGTTTGGGTCTGCCGCATCGCCCAGCATGCCCGTGGAGGGAACGCGGAGGAAACCAAGCCCGGCCTCTCCCAGCAGACGTCAGCTGGGGCTGAATTCAGCCTTGATAGCCTGGCCGCCGAGTTTTCCTTCTCCAAGCTTGCTGCTCTGAACACATCCAAATACTTAGACCTTAACGGCCTTCCGTCCAAAGAGACATGTGAGGGCACACTGAACCGCAAGCAGCAGGAGTCACTGAACGTTTTGATTGGACAGCTGCTAGATGGCGGCTGTGTGCATGAAGCAAGTAGGGTGTGCCAGTATTTCGGCTTCTACAGTCAGGATGTCGCGCTGGTGTTGCACTGCAGGGCCTTGGCCTCCTCAGAGGCAAGTACGGAAGACCTGCACCCAGAGATCCGAGCCCTCCTCCCGAGCGCTGCGCAGCCCGAGGACCTGGAGAGTCCCAGCGTCCCTCTGCGCAAAGTCCATAGCAGTAAGTAAAGGAGGCCACACTGTCCTCTTTGCCATGTCTCCAAAAAGGGACCCTTTTGGGCTGTCATAGTTACACTGAGGTAATTGGGCAGTAAGGGGACCCCTGTCATTTACAGCAGATCGGCACTCCTTCATTACTACATCTGACAGTGACGAGGGGGTCTTAGGAAGATGTTTCGTTATACTGAAGACGCTTATTCTGCTCTTAGTTTGGTGACAGATTTTTGTCATCATTGTTCAGTCTTACATCTTATTTGTTCTGGCATCTGTTGATCTGATCATGAAGTTTCTTCTTTAAACTATCAATATGATTAGATGTTTATTGATTTTTTTTTTTTAAATAGTGAACCAATCTTGCATTCCCAGGGTAAACTTTTTGACCTGTTATCGTTTTTTATAAGTACATCTATAATTGATTAGTTCTTTTATTGAGGACTTTTCTATTTGTTTTTGAAGAACATTCTATAATTTACCTTTTCGTTTTATTTTTTTGAGACAGGGTTCCTCTACATAGCCCTAGCTGTCCTGAAACTCACTCTGTAGACCAGGCTGGACCCAAACTCAGAGATTTTCCTGCTCTGCCTCCCTAAGTGCTGGGATTAAAGACATGTGCCACCACACGCAGCTGTAATTTACTTTTTTAAAATAGTTGTCTGTTTTTCCTTTTTTAAAAATTTGGGATAATGCTGGTTTCATGAATTAGAAATCATATCTTCTTTTATTTTCTGGATGCCATCATTCCTGCCTCTTCCCATTCCTTCCAAGATCTTAGGTAGATTTCCTAGCTCCACCTCTCAAGTGCTTGGATAGAGGCATGAGCCACCATGGCTGACTTGTTATTTTCCTCAAATAATTTAGTAGAATTTTCCAGTAAAGCTTTCTGAATCTGGAGGCTTAATTTTAGAAAACTTATTTTGAATTCCTTTTATAATTATATAACTACAAAGGTTATCTCTTGGCTTTTTGGATAAGTTTTGGTAGTTTGGTACAGGAAATCTTTTCTTTCTTGCTTTTTTAATGAATTGGGCTGTTTTCTTTTTTTTTTTTTTTTTTTTACCTTTATCATGGGTTGTTTTGTTGTTGTTTGGTTGGTTTTAATGTGTATGGGTGTTTTCGCTGAAGCCAGAAGAAAGTGGAAATGGAGTTAGACAGTTTGAGTCAACATGCACACTCTGGGAATCAAACTGGGGTCCTAGAAAAGCAACCAGTGTTCTTACCTGCTGGGCTATTTCTGGAGCTCCCATCTCCTTTTTGACACAGGGTCTGAGTAGCCTTGGCTGGCCTGGAACTCACTATGTAGACCCCATGTATGTCTGGACACCATGTGTGTATCCAGTGCCCTCACCGATCAAAAGAGGGTGTTGAACCCCTGGAACAGGAGGTCGGGTCGATTGTGAGTTGCCATGTGGGTACTGGGAATTGAACCTGGGTTCTCTCTCCACAAAACAATATGGATTTACCTCCTTCCAACCCCCACTTCACTCAAGCTGCCACTGCAGTCTCTACCACCACTGCCAAGAGGTGGCTTGGATGCCAGGGCAGGGGAGAGTGGGCACAGGAATTTACTTCCTACCTTCAAACTGGCACGAGTGCTTTCCTTGAAAGTGCTTGTATGTGCACACAACTGCATATCTCTCCTCCACCTCACTGCCCAATTCTAGGTTTCTAGAGAATTCTAGCTAGGAAAATGCCAACTTTGGTCATCTTCAGTTTGCTTGCTGTTCTACTTTTCATGTTCCTCAAACAGCCACTGCATGTCTTGGTTTTATATAGCTGGAGCTGACTGGGAGGAACAGAGTGGCGTGGGCCTAGTTCATCTTACTAGAGCTCAGTGCCCATCGTGGAGGATGGATAGGAGTAACATGGTCTGAGCTGTGCTTCATTTACCATCACCACCATCATTTGGGGGTTTGTTCTTTGTGTTTTGAGATATAGCCTTGCTGGGCTCCATCTGCCTAAGTAGCCAAGGGTGACCTTGAACTCCTGAACCTCCTACCTCTACTCCCAAGATCTGGAATTTGAGGAGTGCCTTCCCACACCCTGCTTTGCTTTTAAAGTGTATGTTTTTAGACATTAGCTATTTTTCTGTTTGTTGTATCCTAGGCTGTATGTATGGCTGGCAGTGGCCTTGAACTTCCCTTCATCTGCTTCCAGAGTGCTAGGATCACAGCGTGTGCCAGCACACAGCATACAGCACCCAGAGCTTCATGCACGCTAGGCAAGCACTTGCCTGGGTGAACTGCATCTTCAGCTCATGATGCTTAGGTTTTAAGCATGAAAGCTTAACATGCTTAGTGTATAACAGATGACAGAGTAGTCATGCAGAATGTGAAAAGTAAATTCAGTGTTATCAGCTTCCAGAATGACTTTTGTTTGTTTGTTTGTTTTTTTGCTTGCTTGGTATATGTCTGCCAACACAAGCATATACAAAACATTTCCCCAGAAGTTAGATTATATCACACTAATCTATGTTTTCCCTGTCAGGATATACCAAAGGGCTCTCCAATGGGAAAGACTATACTGATGAGTGGATGTACCATCATTTAATGGTGCTTTATTGATTTATAGATAGTAAAACTCTGTTTCAGAAATAGATCTGGGGTGGTGGCTTACAACTGTAATCTAAGCACTTAGGAAGGTGAAACAGGAGAATCACGTGAAACTTGAGGCCAGCCTGGACTACAAAGTGAATTCTAGGCCAGCTGGGGCTACAAAGCAAGTTCCAGGCCAGGAGAGCTAAGAATGAGATAAGAGACAGGAAAGAACAGAATGTGTTACGTATTCTAATTTTATTTTTTTCCTAATAGAAAACGTTTTACCAAGAAACATTTCTCCTATTTCAGGCTAAGGCTTTGCTTGGGCTTTCTTACAGTGCTGGGGTGAACCTAAGGCCTTTTAGAAATACCAGGCCCCAAGATTCCTTTTAAACCCAGAGTGACTGTGGAGGAGTGATTTCAAGGAGAAGGGAGGTCAGCAGAAGCAGAACAGGGTTAAGTGGGAACAAAGCCAACTGGGAGAGGTTTTGAAGAGAAGCAAATGTGGTGTGTATAACACAAGGAAGAATCCAGGAGTGGGAATGATGGGCATCTTGGTACTGATCTCTAGAGTCTGCAGGAAGCTTCAAATCTGAGGTGGTGTGAGATTGCTGAAGAAATCCATGGCTGGATTTCCTGAAAGGTGGTGATCAAAGTTTTAAGTGGGGCTCTGTCAGAAGTAGCCTCCGACCCAGAAGCATCATGGGAGTTCAGTTCAGGGAGCTTTTCAAGAGTGATGAAGTAATGGGGAACAGGGGAGGGGCCAGCCTAGAGCACCCCCTTAGATTTGGGTTTGCTTTCAGCTTCGAGTTTGGATAGTCAGTCATTTGTGATGATGCCACCCACGGATGAGGTGGCGAGGAATCTCCAGGCTCTCACGAGCAAGTGCCTCCGTGGAAAGAACTACTGCCGGCAAGTCCTCTGTCTGTATGAACTTGCCAAGGTATGCACCAGACGGGGGATCCCCACAGGAGCCGTCTTGGCAGGGTGGTGGGCAGTCGGGACAGACTGGATATCTGCACTGAGGCCTCTCCAGTTGGTAGTTGTGAAGGGTAGTACAGATCAGTGGAAGGGTGCTTGCCTAGAATGAGGAGGGCCCCAGACCACCAAAGCAACAAGAAAACAGGAAACTATGACTTGTAAGTAAGGCTCTTGTTAAGGTGTTGGCCCATCTGGGGACTAATGGGGAGGATGCCAGGCCAGTTGAGTCTTGCCCAGAAAGTAGGACAAGATGCACAATGTCCATGGGCTCCTGGCTCTTCTCTATAAATGATTTAAACACGAGTCCCTTCTAGACTTCATTCTAGACTAGATTTTGCTTTATGACCCAAACATTACATGTAACATGTGATGCATACAAGACAGAAGGCAGCAGGTGTAATTGGTTCAGGCCCTCCAATCCCAGCACATGGGACACTGAAGCAGGACTGCCAGGAGTTTGAGGCCAGCCTGGGCTAGGTAGTGAGACCCCGTCTCCTCTACCCCCTTACTCCAAAAATATCCAGAGCAGAGAGATAGGATTGTGTGTAGCCCTGTGCTTACTGAGAGACAGAAAGTGCAAAAATGTGAGGAAAGCAACGCTTTGCCTCAGAGAAGACTGGGTTCTCTGGAAGCACAGGACCCCGGTCCTTCACACTGTATAATTGAAAAGACCAGTGTTCAACAAGAGGTGAGCACCATGGTTTGTGAAATGGCAGGACTAGAAGACACTGCTTGTTGCTTCTGAGGTTCTGGGACGCTAAGGTCAGGCAGCAGTGGCCTGTCCACACACATTTCAGATTGTGCTTCCTTTTCGCTTCTGAAAATGGCTCTGCTCCTGTTATCTTCCTCTCAGGAGTTGGGCTGTTCCTATGCAGATGTTGCTGCCAGGGATAGTGAAGCTATGCTCCAAGCAATCTTGTCTTCTCAGCGGCCTGACCGATGCAGACAAGCCCAGGTCTTCATCAGCACCCAGGCCCTTGAGCCAGACACTGTGGCCGAACTAGTGGCGGAAGAGGTGACACAAGAACTGCTGACCCCATCAGAGGGAACAGGTGCCCTGCCCTCCCAACCTCTCAGGCAGTACTGTTTCCCAGTATCAACGAGTTGAACATTACAGTCATACACAAGCCTGTTCATTGCACCTTCAAGATTCCAGATTCTTGTAAAAAAAGAAAATATTTTATTTTTATCTTGTTATTGCTGTTTTATGATCATGGTTAGAGTAGTTCTGTCCCTGAAATAAAGAATGCCTCTCACCCACAGTCAGCTGGAAAAAGCTGTCAGCATTACCTCCTGCTGCCAGGCCTGGGCAAAGTTGGTCTACTGGCACCATGGTCTTGCCAGCTCTCATGGCAAACTCAGTGCCTATCTCCACATCTTTCTCTGCAGGAGAAAAGCAGCCCTTCAACCCAGCAGAGGAAAGCCAGACATTTCTTCAGCTAACTGCTGTCTGTCAAGACCGCACATTGCTAGGCATGAAGTTGTTGGACAGGATTCCCTCCGTTCCCCACGGGGAGCTCTCTTGCAGTAAGTCCTTATAATTGAAACTTCTGTACTCTTGTGGTTACTTTAGATTGCTTCCAGCTTTTGCTATTTAAGCCCGTCAAAGGATAGGCGCTCTCTCTAGACAGAGCACACCTTGCCAAGCAAAAGTCAACAGTAGGTGTAAGTCTATCTCACTTGTCCAACCACCAGCTACAGAGCTTCTGATCCTGGCCCATCACTGCTTCACCTTTACGTGCCACATGGAGGGCATCATCAGAGTCCTACAGGCAGCCCGGATGCTTACAGAGAACCACCTGGCTCCCAACGAAGAGTATGGACTGCTGGTGAGTAGTCTGAAACCTACCATCATCCTGAGGCAGCTTTGAAGAGAAAGACAGACAAGGGCCCTCAGCTCACAGGGTCTCTGGAGCCCACATCTACTTCATTACCAGCCAGGCAGTCTTAGCCCTCTGCTGATTTGTCAAAATCAGTGTCCCAAAAGAGCAGAAAACAAAGGTTCTCCACCACGTCCTAAGGCTGTTGTACCTTCCTGCCAGGGGAGTCAACTTTTCTAGGGAATGAGCTGCTTTCCCCCAAAACAAGGTTCAGGCATGATCATGTTCAGGCACTCAAGCCCCTTATGCCTCCCCAAATGCTGACCCAAGTAGGTAAGTCAAATGTAGCCCAGTGGAATGAGTGATGGGAGGAAACACTCACTCCGGAAGGCATTGTAGAATGTTAACAGAGAAGAGGTGACAGCCAGTGACATCCTAAAGACTCATTCCAAATTATCCAGAGAAGCCATAGCTGGGTGAATGGGAGGGGTTGAAGCATGGCAGCCTGGCCATTAGCCTGTCCCCCCATGGTGCTTGGCATGTCGTGATGGTGGTGGGTTAGCCTCAACAGCTGTTAAGTGCTCCTTCCCTCAGGTACGCCTCCTCACCGGCATCGGAAGGTACAATGAGATGACGTACATATTTGACTTGCTCCATCAAAAGCACTATTTTGAAGTTCTGATGAGGAAGAAGCTAGATCCGGTAGGTGTTTAGTAATGAGCTCCGGGATATAGGAGTCTCACCTGCTCCTGAGAGACCAAGAACTTACCCCAGGCGCCACTGTCACCAGTGACTCACATTACAGAGCTCAGACTAAGTCTGGCAAAGGTACACCTCCTTTTGAACCATGCTGAAAATGAGTAGGTAGGGAGGATGGATCCAGGAGTTGAGGGGAGGGGGTAGAAAAATAGGATTAAAATTGGAGGGGGAAAAAATAGGAGTAAAATATATTGTATGAAAAAAACTTTAAAGCCAATATATTACAACAAAAATACCAAGGTAGGAAGCAAAATGCATAGCCCAGGGCCAGAGAAGACAAGGAACTCTCATGATGGCCAGGAAGCAGCTGTGGAAACAGGCCTGGCCTGCTCAATCTCTGGGCCTTGGAGCCTCTCTATCCCCATTATGAGCTATATGATGTCACTCACATAGCCTTTGTTCCCAAAGCACTGGTGTAGGGGAAGAGGGAGGGAGTGTTTGTTCATTTCTCAGATTAAAAACATAGTTAAAAGGCCTTTCGGAACAGTGCTAGGCCATCTTCGGGATTCCCCCAGATTTTTAAATTGTTGTTTTGAGGCACATTTGCATTTGAAATTGTTTTAATAACTTTTTTCCTGATTACAAAAGTAATACATACTCCATATAAGACACTTAGAAAACAATACAGAAGTTCTTAGTGTTCACCATCTGGAGACAGCTACTACTAATATACCTCTTTCTTTGCACATGTACCTCCAAGTATAGAAATTCACATTTTAGCAAAATTATATGCTTTGAAAATAAGAGATAATTGAGGTTCTCCTTTTGCAATGTCTACTGTGGCTATTTCCCAAGTCAAGACAGTCCTGTGCACAGAGGTCATGGCTAAGTGGGAAAGCCTGTGCTTGGCCCTGGATTCAATTCCCCAACTCAGAGGAAAAGAAGAAAAAAGGAAGAGCAGTTTAAGAGCTACAAGGTGTTCTTAGCCTTTATTTGGGGCATCCAGGCTGGTTTTAATTAAGTCTGTTACATTCACCTTCACACTTTGCTGGAATACTATCCTAAATATGCAAACAGAATTGTACTCAGGTGGGCTCTTAAGGCTTTCTTTCTAGATCAAGTAACTGTTTATGCTCCCAACAATGATTCTGTATTTTCATTTACCTTTCCTTGGGTATTTTAAAAGCTCAAAAAAAATCAAGGGACGCACTTGAGTTTCCCCCCCTTGTCCCTGGTTGAGCCCTTAGATATACTTTTCCCCCCCCCCCCCCCCCCGGCAGAGTGGCACCCTGAAGACAGCCCTACTAGACTACATCAAACGCTGCCGCCCTGGAGACAGCGAAAAGCACAATATGATTGCTCTGTGCTTCAGCATGTGCCGGGAGATAGGGGAGAATCACGAGGCAGCAGCCTGCACCCAACTGAAGCTGATTGAGTCTCAGCCCTGGGGTAAGTCTTGAGTAGCAGCCCAGGCGGCAGTTCAAACAAGCATTTGAACTCCTAAGGCATCATCCATCAAACCCTGGAGTTAAGTTCTGTAAGGGCGTACATTCCCTGCGTGCAGTACACCTGCCTGTGACTATACCTAGGATGTTTCTCCCATCACTCAGCTTCATAGCAAGTGTTCTTTTCTTTACAGAGGAAAGCCTCAAGGATGGAGCCCAACTTAAACAGCTCCTGCTTAAAGCCCTAACTCTGATGCTGGATGCAGCAGAGAGTTACGCCAAGGTAACCAGTGTTATTTTAGCCTGGCCTCTAGCCTTGGCATCTAGTAGAAATGAGTTCCGCCTGGGCTCTTCCTAGTGAAGAGGGAGTGAGTACAGGAGAGATGGTAACAGCAATGCCTCTTCCACCCTTGTCCCTCAGGACTCCTGTGTGCGACAGGCCCTGCATTGTAACCGGCTCACCAAGTTGATAACACTACAGATTCACTTTCTGAACAGTGGCCAGAATACAATGCTTATCAACTTGGGCCATCAGAAGCTAATGGACTGCATCATGGCCCTACCTCGGTTCTACCAGGTAAGAACATTCTAGCAAGTACTGCCAGCATCATCCTGTGGTATCTTACTCTTGGTACCCATAAGTTGAGTGACTGAGGTTTCAGGATCTAACAGTACCATGAACAGGCAATTTGAGACGGATGTGCATGTGTTTTTTGTAGTGATTCAGTTCAAACCAAGGTCTTTATAAATGCTAGGCAAGTGCTATACCGCTTAAGGCACTCCCGGCACTATTTGATGTGTATCTCTAGCACATCATTTGGGCAAAGGTTAGAGATTTTGTTGTTTGGCACAGTTATGGTTCAAAGAAATAGCCTTGGCTTGTCCACTTAAATCTTCCCAGTTGTGTTCATGGAATGGTGCGTGCAGGTTAGCAGTGAGAGTCAAGTGTGTCCAGAGACTGGACCTAGCCCTTTAAAAGTAAAAGGGACTAATGTCCCAGCATCAGCTCTTTCCTGCTCCTCACACAGATGAGTTACGGGGACAATTCACATCTCAGCAGTTCTATAGTCCATTGGAAGGAAGACTAAAAACAAGTTACTGGAGGGGGTTTTATGAGAGGGAAATGTCAAGTCAACATTAAACAGTCTGATACAGAGCCCTTGACACTGATCATTATTCATTGTGTACTGTTCCTAGACTCTGCCTTCAATTTTCCACAGCACAGGCTCTAATGGCGCCTCCCCTTTCTTCTGTCCTTTTAAGGCTTCTATTGTAGCAGAGGCCTATGACTTTGTTCCTGATTGGGCTGAAGTTCTCTACCAACAAGTGATTCTTAAAGGAGATTTTAGTTACTTGGAAGAATTTAAGCAGCAGAAGTTACTAAAACCCAATATATTTGAAGACATTTCCAAAAAGTAAGTAAGTTGCCTGTAATCCCAGCCTTGCCTCCTAGGACAGGCGGCTACATATGCAGAGGCTGTCCTTTAAAAAAGGAAAGGAAAAAATTTATTATGAGCAGAAACCCTAGCAAAGGTGCCTTTTGCAGCACTACTAAATTTAATTAAGGTGGGTGCTGACACTTAACTTTTAATGAAAGTAATCCATCAAGATCCAGTACTAGGTTTGATAATTTCCTAAGCACCTTTGCAGATAGTGGTGGCAGAGCTGATCCCCTCACTGATGATACAGTATTTAACCTGTTCTTTACATATTTTTGTGTAGATATAAACAACACCAGCCTACCGACAGGGTCACAGAAAACCTGAAGAAGTTACTCTCATATTGTGAAGATATCTACCTGTATTACAAGTTGGCATATGAACACAAGTTTTTTGAAATTGTAAATATGCTTCTGAAGGACCCTCAAACGGGATGCTGCCTTAAAGATATGCTTGCAGGTTAGAAGATCTGAAAGGTGCCTGGTTGCTTATTTGTACCTACATGGCTCTAAAGAATATCCAGTCATAACATATTTGAAGATCTTTATCCTCATTTGAGGTAAAAAGCCCAGAGATATACCACACCACACCAGTCACCTGTGGCCATAGGGAATGGAGGAGAAATTGGTATTAAGATCAAAAGCTTCTTGTTAGAATGGCTTCTACATCAGAGAAACAGTAGTGATTAAAGAATACCTGTGCCTGCAGGTTCCAGTTTCAAAGTAATTTAATCTTATTTACACAGTTAAGGAACAGGTGATACATTTTCATGAGTTAGAAACTGATCTTTCTATAATAAAATAGGTTTTAATTCAGTGTCTACCATTATTACTGCTAAGGAAATCTTAGCCCTTGTCTGCCTTCAACAGTATTTACTGTAATTATTGCTGTGTAGTCACGGCCTTCTATTAATTCAAGTTAATTAGATGGTCCTGTTTTCCACTTAGTCTACAGAGCTTTAAGGTTCCTATTGCCTATGGAAGAGAAATTAAAAACTTTTTTTTGTTGTTGTTCTGGTTGTGACAATTAGAGGGGGGAGGAACCTAACCACAAATTTGGTAAAATTACTCAAGATGATCATCCAATTTATGCTTACAGCAATAACCTGAGTAAGTAGGCTCCATTACTCCAAATAAATAGTTGTAGTACTTACATAAACAAGGGGAGGAAAGCAACCTCTGTTGCTCCACAGTTAACTACTCAAGACCCAAGCACTCTTGCTTCAGTGCTGTAACTGCACCAAGCACTGAGTGAGCCTTAGTGAGTACACAGATAACTCCACCCAAGAGTGGGATCCTGTAACTCAACTATTTCTTGGGAGGTAACACAAAATTTAAGTCCTCACAATAGTGATTTTATTAAATTAGTTGCTTTATAAAACATTGCAGATGTCATAATTGTTAACATAACAATTTACCAAACTGTAGTTAACTGGTGCAGTTTGCTGAGCATGTTTTATAAAGAAAAGGAAATGCCAAAACCCTGTTAAAAGTTTTTCCATTATAGCCTAGAAGAACAAGATTTGTTTCTCAGACACTTGAATCAGGCAAATAGAAACAGAGTTCCCTCCCCCATCTGAAGTCTCCATCCGTAGAAATAGGCAGATAAATAACTAGACAGTCAATGCACTGCAGAGTCCACCACTTGCACTGTAATATGGAGAGGTTTACCTTCTTCAGTTTTAAAGTTGGAGGGTTTTGGTCATTAAAATCTTAAGTATCAAACTAGTACTTTTCAGCCACAGTATCTTCACTCTGAGATAAGCAGTCTTCTTCACAACGTTTAATATCCTCACCTCAATTTTAAGACAAAGCAATTTTAATACTAGGTGCATCTCACATGCCCTTGCGCAAACTGCTTTTCTTGACAAGTTATGAAGTAGTTCAAGGAGGTATGGTTAAGGCTGTATTACTGAATGGTGCTGGTAAATACTACACAATCTTTTTGTCATGTTGCAACCTTTGTTTCCAATTTAGTGACTGCTGCTATGGAATCAGATAGCAACAATGACAACATTATTAGGTTTGTTTTGTTTTTAAACTATGATTTAGTAGCAACTGAGGTTCCCAATTTTAACCCCTTGGCAACAAGATCCAAGTTCCCTCATTTGCACATTAGCACCTGAGTGTCAAGGGGTTAAATAACCAGCACGAAAGATACTGCACTTCTGATTGTAGCATTTGGCAGAACTGAAAGGAAAGGAGGTTGTGCTACATGTTGAAGGGATTGTGGGCAACAGAAAGAAGACACCAAGAAAAGATAGAATGTCACATGAAGTCTTCATAGTCTTGTACATATCCTCCATCATATCCACCATAATCTGCCAGATCATCTTTCATGGTGGCCTTTAATCCCCCTCCAGGAACCACGCCTTTCTTCTTCTTTTTGGCTTTGCTTTGCTAAAAATGAAGAAGAATTAAATTCATGAACCTTTATCTCCTATGGGCATTTCATCTGTCATAGCAAGCCCTCGAAAAGATGGCAAAGCCTCTCTAAAAGGCCCAACCTACAGCAATTTTTATTGTCTCAGAAAAAAAGAACACAGTGATGTCTGAGTGGAGACAACAGGCACCACACTGTTGTTCTGTTCTAACTTAAATTTCAACAGGCTCTTACAGTGTTGAGGGAATTCTGCCCACAGCTCCACTCTAACGTGTCATTTCTCTGCACAGCTTGCACTTACCTTTTCTTGCTTCTGTTTTTCACTGCAAAGCACAGTCAATGAGTTGGTAATCTTTTTCAAGTCATCAATTTCCACTTTAAAAGAGAGAGACATACTACTAAACTTCAGTTTTTAAGCATTTTGAAAAATAAAATCTTAAGATATCTTCCTCACATATAAAAAATCATTTGTCATTAAACTTAGGTAACTTTAACTATGAATTTCTTCTCCTTCATAAATAATGTTCAGTCTACGGCTAGGCTCACTAATATACAACAGCAAACCCAATGACTATAAAGAACCATAACTGTGGACTCTCTGTTCTTACTGCTTCTTGCCATCTTTCCTCAGTCTAAATGGAGGGGGGAATAACACAAACTCCTGTAACACAGCCTCTATATTCACTGAGCACCAGCTACACGAACATGCAATATTTAAACACACAGATGACAAGCTTCTGCCCTGTGTATGTTCTAGCCCAGGTACTATAGCACATTTAGTGAACAGCATGTCCTTTACTTAGTTAAAAAAAAAAGTTAGAGCTAGAGAGATGGCTTGAGCACTGTCTGCTATTCCAGAGGTCCTGAGTTCACTTCCCAGCAACCACATGGTAGCCCACAACCATCTGCCTACACTTCTGGCATGCAGATAAAAGCTCTCACATACACAAAATGAATAAATATAATCTTTTTTTTTTTTTTTTTTTTTTTTTTTTTTTTTTTTTTAAGTTCTCAGACACAAAAAATGTTAAAGAGTTTGGTTAGGAGTCCTGCCACACCACCAAAAAACAGTACATGTAAAATGAAGACCCACCTGTGGGTAAATCAATCACAGTGAGAATCCTCTTAGTGATCATTCCTCAAAGAAAATAAAACTCCTAATTCATGGTGATCTTTTTCTCGATCTTCAACTAGTCCTAACCCCCAGACATCCTTAGTCTGGTACCCCAGCTTATGGACACCAGTTCTGTTAGGCAGCTTGGGTAGCATATCAGCCTTCTATGTGCAAAGTTCTGAGGTTCTCATTGAGTTCTAAACCCCTCGGAACCCCAAATCCATTCCCTCTATAGATACTTTGTACTCCTTTAGAAAATAGCTGGGTAAAAGGGTTACCCAGTGTTTTGTGACTTGCTTTATTTGGCATAAGCCAACTGTCTTTGGGAAGCTACTACAAAACAATTACAATAGCCTATTACCACCCCCACCCGAATACTAAAATTAGAGAACGTTCCCAAGTCTATATTACACAGCATTAAGGCACTTTAAAAAAATCATTTATTTTCCCAAGGATGGTGTGCATATACAGTCTTTTTTGTCCCCCCTTAGCTTCTGAGACAGGATTTCTCTGTGTAGCCCTGGCTGTCCTGGAATTTGCTTTGTAGACCAGGCTGGCCTCAAACTCACAGAGATCGGCCTGCCTCTACTTGCACACTGCTGGGATTAGTTTGCCACCACCATCTGGCCGTAACACAAAAGGGGCTAAAAATCAGAATCACTTACATGAAATACAAACATCTCGAACTAAGGCTTCCAAAAAACTGGCATAATATAGTGATTTTTCATATTGTGTAATTTTATCTTTTAGTAACTTTCCAAACTCTGTAAAATCATCTCTTGAAGATGGGTTCATAGCATCTATTCCATAAACTGTATTATTAACACCTGTAGGAGAGAAGACTGAAACATTAGGAAGACACAAACATTTTATCAACGAGGGGGTAATGAAATGGCTCAGTGGGTAAGAGCTTACCTGGAGCTCATGTAAAGTTGGGAGGAGAGAACTGATAGCACAAAACTATCTTCTGACCTCCACTCATGGCCCTCCCCATAACAAAAAATTTAAAGCTCATAAACCAAGTTGAATTATCATAGTGTATGTGTGTGTGTGTGTTTGTGTGTGTGCCATGACCTTCATGTGGAAATCACAGGATAACTTTTACTCCTTCTAACAGTGTGGGTCCTGGGGATCAAACTCATATTGTCGTCAGACTTACTACCTGCTGAGCCACCACTCCCACTCCAGCCCTATGATGTTTTTTTTTAACCTGGGCCTATTAAGAGGAGTTCAGGAGACTTCTAACTTCAAAATAAGAGTTCAAGGCCTGACAAGAACCTGCCTCAAAAACTAAACAAAACAACAACAACAACAAAAAAAACAAAACAAAACAAAAAAAAAAAACCCTAAAACCAACCAATAAATTAATGAAACCATATGGACTGGGAATGTAGCTCAGGTATGTACTGCTTTAACATATTTTACGTGAAGCCCCAAGTTCAATTCCCTGCACTGAAAATTAAAAAACATATAATTCTGTGTCATGAGATTTGTTTTATGATTTGATTCCTGTTTCAATTTAACAGATTTCCTTTGTTTTTTAAAAAAATCAAACAAACATGTATTTATTCGCTTGAAAACATACTTGACAGGCAGTGGCGGCCCATGCGCCTTCAATCCCAGCACTTGGGAGGCAAGCCAGGCAGATCTTTGAGTTAGCAGCCAGCCTGGTCTACAGAGTGAGTTCCAGGAGAGCCAGAGCTACTCAGAGAAACATCTCAGAAAACCAAAAACTGTTTAAACAAACAAAAACAAAAAACCATACTTGAAAAACAGTAAGACAACAAAAACAGCCAGGCACAATAGTAAACACCTTTAACCACAGCATTCAAGAAGCAGAGAGAAGCTTCTCTTTCAGTTTGAGGCCAGCCTGGTTTATTTACATAGTGAGTTCTGGACCAACCAGGGCTACACAGAGAAACCATGTCTCAAAAACAAAAGACATACTAAAAAAGGGACCCATAGAATTCACTAGCTGTACAAAGAAAGATGCTCTCAGGATATGTCCAAGAAAGAGGAGACAAAAAGGATTAGATGGGAGGTGGCTCAGTGGGTAAAGACAGTTGCTACCAAGTGTGACCACCTAAGTTCAAGCCCCTGAACCCAAATGGCAGGAGAGAACCAACTCCACTCCTCTGACCCCCACAGACACCCTAGGGTACAAAACACAATAAATGTCAAAACAAAACAACTTTTTACAAAAATGGCAAAGGATAAAAAGGAGGAATACTATAAAAATAATCGGCTAACTCCAAAAATTAAGCAGTTTTCTCTCAGTGTTAAAACCTGAGAGAAAAATTAATCTAGCCTAAAAGAATTAAGTATGTATGCTTGCTTCTGTACATACCTTTTTCAATGTCAAGTAAATAATCTAACAATAGCACAGATTCAGCACTGTAGTACAAGAAAACAGTAAATTCCTATTAACTAAGCAATGACTGTTGTTGGATTTTCCTCTTAATCTATAACTGGTACCTCACAGGTTTTCAGCACTGCACATACGCAGATGGGCTG